GTGATGCCATGGCACTCTGCCCAGGGGGACAGCTTGAGGCTCTGTCTCAAAAAAAAAAAAAAACTCATGTACCCCCAGTCCCTACACCCACCCCCATGTCTTCCTGTCCCCATGTGGACACACTGCAGAAGCTACCTGGACACTGACACTCAGAAGAGAGCACCCAGGGGCTCACACTACCCCTGCAAAACAGCAAAGGCACCTAGGGACCCTGACCCTTCCCAGCCATGGACCTGCCTCTCTGCACTCTGTGCAGCTGGCCTGTGCTGGCTCTGCCCTAGCTTCCTTTAGGGATAGCACAGATGGCTGTGAGGGGTAGTAGAATGAGGGCTAGCGGCTAGGACCAGCCCTAAACAGTCTGACCCCTCAGATCGTGTACTTCACTGCTACATTCCCCTACGTGGTCCTGGTGGTGCTGCTGGTGCGTGGGGTGCTGCTACCCGGGGCCTTGGACGGCATCATCTACTATCTCAAGCCTGACTGGTCGAAGCTGGGATCCCCTCAGGTGAGGAGGCAGTGGCTATGTGACAGGAGGGCAAAGAGGAGATAAACTGGGAGGGCCCTTCATGCCTGCAGCCTGGCCCTTCTCCTCCAGGTATGGATAGATGCTGGGACCCAGATTTTCTTTTCTTATGCCATTGGCCTGGGGGCCCTCACAGCCCTGGGCAGCTACAATCGTTTCAACAACAACTGCTACAAGTAGGTGCCCCAGACCCACCCCAGCCCTGCCCAGACCTGCCCTGGCCCTGCCTGTTCTACCCCAGTCCCTGCCTGGCCATGGGAGGACAGCAGGCAGCCTAACCTATGTCCCCTGCACCCCAGGGACGCCATCATCCTTGCTCTTATCAACAGCGGGACCAGCTTCTTCGCTGGCTTCGTGGTCTTCTCTATCTTGGGCTTCATGGCCACAGAGCAGGGCGTGCACATCTCCAAGGTGGCAGAATCAGGTATGGGCCCCATCCTAAGCCCTGCCCTCAAAGTGGCAGCAGCGGTCCTGACCTACAGCACCCCCATACATGCAAATGGGAATTCTGAAAAGTGAGAGACAGTTGAAACTAAGCTTATCACATCACCCTAGGCCCCAGGCAGGCCTGGCTGAGCAGCAGCTGCTCTCCATCCATCCCCAGGGGCCTTAAGATATGTCTTCATATTGGTCAGAGTGTTGCAGAGGGCAAAGGAAGACCTCCTCCCAGACCTTGCTGCATCATGCTAGGGGTGGGGGGGACCTGTAACCACAGTTGGTGCTAGAGCCTGAGGAGCAGTCTGAGTCACACATCCCACTTGCCCAGGCCCTAGCACAGGATATGCATGGGTTTGCGTGGGCCCAGCCATACCTGCCTGCAAACTGAAAGGCCAGGCTACAGCTCTTAGCCACAGGGTGTCCATATGAGTAGATGTGAGCATGATCGTGGTGGGCAGGGCTCAGGCTGCACACAGGTGAGCGCACAGTCCACCAGGGTCTCACGGGGCCTCAAACTTTTTAAACAGGGGGCCAGTTCACTGTCCCTCAGACCGTTGGAGGGCCAGACTGCGGACCCTAGGATGAGTCGGCTACTAAGCAGGACAGGCAGCAGCGGCAAAAACACCCAGTGGGCTGGATAAATGTCCTAGGTGGGCTGCATGTGGCCCACGGGCCATAGTTTGACGACACCTGGTCTAGAGTAGTAGTTCTCAACCTTCCTGATGCCGCAGCCCTTTAATACAGTTCCTGTGGGTGGGAACCCAAAGGTTGAGAACCCCTGGTCTAGAGCCTGCACCTTTCTCCCACAGGGCCTGGCCTGGCCTTCATCGCCTATCCCCGGGCTGTCACGCTGATGCCTGTGGCCCCACTCTGGGCTGCCCTATTCTTCTTCATGTTGTTGCTGCTCGGTCTTGACAGCCAGGTTTGCAGAGGGGCTTCTAGAACAGGGAGCCAGGGCCAGGTATGGGGAGGTTGGTGGGCAACAAGGGAAGAGGGCCTGGCCTGAGCTGCCTCGGCCACAGTTTGTAGGTGTGGAGGGCTTCATCACTGGCCTCCTCGACCTGCTCCCGGCCTCCTACTACTTCCGTTTCCAAAGGGAGATCTCCGTGGCCCTCTGCTGCACCCTCTGCTTTGTCATCGACCTCTCCATGGTGACCGATGTGAGTGGAGGTGGGGTCTGGCAGCCTTTGGCCTCTGGCTACTATCCACCATCCTCCCTGACCTGGCTCTGTCCCCCAGGGTGGGATGTACGTCTTCCAGCTATTTGACTACTACTCCGCCAGCGGCACCACCCTGCTCTGGCAGGCCTTTTGGGAGTGTGTGGTGGTAGCCTGGGTGTACGGTAGGTCTGGGCTCAATTGCATGGCTGAGGGTGTGGGTGGAGCAGGGGCAGGGGCGCTCCAATGCTGGCCCTCCTGCCTCACTCTGCCCCAGGAGCTGACCGATTCATGGATGACATCGCCTGCATGATTGGGCACCGGCCATGCCCCTGGATGAAATGGTGCTGGTCCTTCTTCACCCCGCTGGTCTGCATGGTAAGGACTGGGCAAGTGGGGCAGAGCAAGCCATGCAGAGGCCCTGCCAACTGTTGGTGTCCTTGTGTACAGGGCATCTTCATCTTCAATGTCGTGTACTATGAGCCGCTGGTCTACAACAACACCTATGTGTACCCATGGTGGGGCGAGGCCATGGGCTGGGCCTTTGCACTCTCCTCCATGCTGTGTGTGCCCCTCCACCTCCTGGGCTGCCTCCTCAAGGCCAAGGGCACCATTGCTGAGGTAAGGCCCCTGTCCTAGCCCTGGCTCTGTAGGTTGTGCTACCATGCCAGAGCCTCTGGCCAGCTTGGACTGGGGTGTGGCAGGAGGAGCAGGGCCCAGCCCCACCTGCCCTTCCCTCTGTGCAAGCATCCATACAGCCCTACTGCCTAGTGTGGGCAGCAGAGCCTGGAAGGCACCCTGGGAGGAGTGGCCTCAACTTGGTGGCAGGTGGTGGGAACTGGAGAAGCAGAGGAAGTTGCCATGGTGACAAGCAAGTGACCCAGGGGATTCAATGTGTCCTCCTGTCCCACAGCGCTGGCAGCACCTGACTCAGCCTGTCTGGGGCCTCCACCACTTGGAGTACAGAGCTCAGGATGTGGATGTCAGGGGCCTGACCACCCTGACCCCCGTGTCCGAGAGCAGCAAGGTCGTCGTAGTGGAGAGTGTCATGTGACAGGCAGCCTGGCTCACATCACCAGCTCACCCTCTGGTAGCCATAGCAGCCCTGCTTTAGCTCCCTGCCCCCCCCCCCGGGGGCTGGCCTTTCCCTGACACTTTCGGGGTCTGCCTGGGGGAGGAGGGGAGGAAGCACCGAGAGTGCTAACTAAAATAACTTTTTCCATTTTTAATAAAACACCAGAAATATCACAATCCACCAAAAATAGATGCCTCTCCCCGCCAGCCCTAGCCAAGTTGGTCCTAGGCCCTCTACCGCCCTGCCCCCAAGGCCATAACCCATCTCCTACCCTTGCCATGCCACCCTGCTGCTTCTCCAGGCTCTGCTCTGAAACACTCCCTTGGGTGGCCCCTCACCCTAGAAGCAGCAGCGGTACCTCGGGAAATGAGGCAGGAAGGTTATAAGTGGGGACGAAGGGAAGCAGCAGAACTGAGGTGAATACTTCAGCTGGGCTAGACCCCTCTCCCAATCCCTATTCTAGAAGCTTAGCGAGCCAGCCAGCAATGGAACCTTCTGGTTCCTGTGCCAATTGCCACCAATGTCAACTGTGTAAGCTTGGGTATGTGTGCACATGTGAGTGAGTATGAAGAGTGTACATAGGTCTCTGTTAGCAAAGGTGAGTACTGGACGTAATCAGTGCCTCTGGCAAAGGAGGCTTGTATTTTGCACATTTTATAAAAACCTGAGGAGACTGAGACTTCTCCTTGTATATTTCTAAAAAGAGAAAAAAGGCCGAACACCCCTGTCCTCAGCACCATCCCTCTCACCCCCTCACCCTCCGCACCTAGCCAAGGAGTGGGAATTTGTAGATTTAATTTTCATAGGTGAAACAAAAGCCTCAAGTGTGAAAGTCTGTAGTGTGGATGTACGTGTGTGGTCCCTGCCCCAGAGTCAGGTGGGGGCCTCAGGGGTCCCCATGCCCTTTGCCCATTATCTGTGCGGTGAGAGTCTGCCAATTCTGTCCTGGGGATCTGGGGCCACTCCCCTGGAACACTCAGGCTTACCCACACCCTGCTGCCTGGGCTGGGCATGATTGCAGCGATGGTAGATGGGCACAACCCAGGGAGAGAACCCAGGCCTGGCTCCCACCTCCAAGCTTATAAGGCTGATGCACTTTCCCTGTAGCAGCTTTCACCCACCTATGTCTATGTCAGGTCCAGTCCTGAGAGAGCTGAGTGGCCCCAAAACAGCTCCCCCACACCAGGGCATAGGCTGGGGGGGTAAGGCTGGGTGAGGGCAGTGGGATTGCAGGGACATTCTTACTGTGCTAAAAAGCCACTGCAAACATAGCAATAAAAACATGTCATTTTCCAAAGGTGGCTCCTGCTGCTGCCTCTGCTTCTCTGGGAGGGGGCAGTGGGTGCAGGAGGTATAGGGGGGGCCTTCCCCCAGCTCCAGCTGCTGCAAGCAGCCAGCATCTGTTCTGAGGGCCTCTGCCAGGTCCAGGAACTAAGAGGGGAGCTAGGCAAGCAGACACAAAGCCTAGTCCTCTGGGAGCTGGCACACTTGGGGAAAAAGGATAACAGGAGCAAATTGAGCAGGGTTGGATGTGGTGTTGTAGGTACTCAAGTCATCAAAAGGTTGTCCCAAAACTGTATCACTGAACAGGTGACCTTCCAAGACATGAAGGAGGTGAATGGGTAGGCCAGGGCCAAGGCAGATCTGGGGGAGGAGGCCACAATGACTCAGAGACAAGGTGGTTTTACCTGGAGCCAGGCTGGTAGCACTGAAGGTGATTTGAAGCCTTGAGATTAAAAACCTATTTTTTAGAGACAGAGTCTCACTTTATTGCCCTTGGTGGAGTGCAGTGGCGTCACAGCTCACAGCAACCTCCAACTCCTTGGCTTACGCAATTCTTTTGCCTCAGCCTCCCAAGTAGCTGGGACTACAGGCACCTGCCATAATGCCCGGCTATTTTTTTGTTGCAGTTTGGCCAGGGCTGGATTTGAACCTGCCACCCTCGGTATACAGGGCCGGCATCCTACTCACTGAGCCACAGGTGTTGCCCATATTTTTTTTTTCTTTTTGAGACAGAGTCACACTGTCGCCCTCGGTAGAGTGCTATGGTGTCACAGCTCATAGCAACCTCAAACTCTTGGGCTTAAGCCATTCTCTTACCTCAGCCTCCCAAGTAGCTGGGACTATAGGCACCCACCACAACGCCCAGCTGTTTTTTGTTGTTGTTGTAGTTGTCATTGTTTAGCTGGCCCAGGCTGGGTTCAAACCCCCCAGCCCCAGCGTATGTGGCCAGCGCCCTAACCACTGCTTCTGCTCCATAGGGCGCTATGGATACTAAGCCTAAAAACTTATTTTGAAGGTGGAGCCAACAAAGGTCCTGGGTGAATAGGATGCAGGACTCAAAAGAGACAGTGAGGAGGATGCAGCCTGGGCAGGAAGAGGATGAGGAGAGGACATTAGGAGTAGCTGTGCATGTGTTGTGTAGGAAGTATCACCCAAGTGGAGATACCTAGTAGGCAGGTGGACAAGGGAGTCTGGAGTTCTGGAAGGGTCTGGCCTGCAGACAGAACTTTGCAAGTTCTCACCACGTACAGACAGCACTGAAAGCCTGAGTTCACACAGGAAGGCACCAGGAGACATCGAGAGAGGGGCTTGAGCTCTGAGCCTTGAGGAGCTGGCAAAGGGCTGAGAGGAAACCTGAGTGCCTGGGGACATCCACCAAGGGTCAAGGAGTGGGAAGTGATCAGCTGTGTCAGGTGCTGCTGCTGGGCAAGGACACTAGATGCTGGCTAGGTCTGGCAGAGTTAACAGACACTGGACAAGAGCGGCATGGGTAGAAGGGTGCAAAAGCTAGAGTAGTAGTCTACTCTAGAAGACTAGAGTAGAATTAAGAAAGAAGGGCAGCCAGATGTGGTGGCTGTGCCTGTAGTCCCAGCTGCTTGGGAGGCTGAGGCGGATCACCACAACCCAAAAGTTGGAGGCTATAGTGAGCTGTGATCACACCACTGTACTCTAGCCTCGGCCACAAAGCAAGATCCTGTCTCTTAAGAAAAAAAAAAAAAAGCAAAGGAAAGAAGGGATAGAAGCAGCCTGCTTGTCCATGGAGGAAAGAATGGACAAACAAAATGTGGTCTCCCCAGGCAGTGGGATGAGATTCAGCCTTAATGAGGAAGGAGAAGCTGATAGTGCTTCAGCATGGCTGACCTTGAGGACAACATGCTCAGTGACATGAACCAGTCACAGAAGGTCAAACACTGTAAGGTCTCCCCCCCCCACCCCGTGTGTGGGACCACAGATGACAGCGGCCCAATCCATAGAGACAGACAGTGTAGTGGCAGATGCCAAGGGATGGGGGAGGGGTGGGAATTGGGTGTTTGGTGGGACAGCTTCGGTTTGGGAAGAGGAACAAAGACAGTGGATCGATAGTGGAGATGGCTGCACGACACCATGAATGTGATGAATGTCACCAGGCTGTGCACTTGAACATGGCTAACGTGGGACATTTTATGTGATGTGTTATATTTTACCACAATAAAAAGAGGAACTAGAGATAGTAAGTACACTGGTCCTTGGAGGAGTACAATCTCATGTATATGACAGTATGTACCCATTTAGGAGGAGCATGCCATGGGCATAAGGACTGCCCAAGGACAGAGCAGGAAGCACAGTCACCAGCTGGGGCAGACGTTGGGGGATGTCAAGGAACAGGTACTCACTCTGAAGACGAACCTGGGCAGAGGGGTGGGCGATGCCACTCAGAAAAGTGACAGTTTGAGCTGCTCAGCTCGTCCTTTCCTGGAGTATTTGAGAACATTCAGAGTACCCACTCCTTAGCTGGCAACATCCCCTCAACTTCTAGGGCCAGGGGTGGGCTCTGACTTGGAATACTATCACCAAGAACTCAGAAACACATGGACCAGACAGGGAACTGAGGAAGGACAGCAGGTGTGAAGTCTCACCCTGGCTCCACCTTTGCCCTCCATAAACATCTGCTACCACCAGGCCTGCAGTTCCCAGGGCTCCCCTCTGTTGGCAGGTTCCAAATCTACAGCCTGGCTGCAGAGATCCAACTCCAGACCCCCAACACAACCAGGTCTCTGTGTAGATGACAGCCACCCTCTGCCGTTCTCACCATTGGGCTAAACGTTCCCCAAACCACCGACCATTATGCCACCAAACACACGAACACTGACATTACAAGAAGGAACTCCACATAGGCAGGCCATTTGGACTGGGCCCTAAAGTACTAGGACATGGCACCTGTGTAAGGGGTTAGGAGTTGGCAGTCTCTGCCCTCAAGCTGCTTACAGTCTAGCAGAAGATGGGCAGGAAAATGAATTAGCATGGCCATGGGTATGGACAGCCCAGAATACCAAAGCTACTGGAGAAAAATGCAGCTAGCAGGTGTGTTCCCAACATATTTCCTGCAGGCAGCCCTCCAGTCAAGCCAGGCATGGACCTTGCTTTCCATCTATGAGCCTATGACACCCCCCCATCCTGTCACTGTCCTGTCCCCCACTAGACAGGGCATTCCAAAAGCTGGCCTTGTGTAGCTTTTTTTGCACTGCCTGGCCCAGGGCCTGGGAAGAATGGCAGAAGAGGCTGTCTGGGCTGGCAGGGAAGCACCCATAAGCACGATGATTTGGACTTTAGCCTTTAGAAGCTCAGAGAACAGCGAGCTCAGGGAGGCCTCAGGGAATTAAGGAATACTTCCTGGAAAAGTATGATCAGCCTGGGCGGCACTTGTAGCTCAGTGAGTAGCATGCTGGCCCCATATACAGATGGTGGTGGGTTCAAACCCGCCCTGGCCAAACTGTAACAAAAAATAGCCAGGCACTGTGGCAGGCGCCTGTAGTCCCAGCCACTTGGGAGGCTGAGGCAAGAGAATCACCTAAGCCCAGGAGTTGGAGGTTACTCTGTTGCCACGGTGCTCTACAGACGGCAACAGAGTGAGACTCTGTCTTTTTAAAAAAAAAAAGTATGATTAGCCTTCAGCCTTGACCTAGCAACTAGAGGCATCACCTGTATGCCCCTTTCTGCCACCAGATACCACCTCTCAGGCTATCTGGAAAGGGACAGAATTTATGAGGCAACTGTACTCTGAGCGTAAGGGCGGGCAATGGGACACTAGGGAAAGCAATCACCAGCTTGGGCCCAGACTCCAACTCAAGGATGGCTAGCCAACAGCCACCCTGCCAAGTGTCAACATCTTCAGGGGTAGCACCCAATTCCAAAAGACATCTCTAACCTGCTTCCCAGTCCATCCCTCCTTCCCAGTCTTCGTGCAGATACCAGGTATAGTGGAGACCCTAAAAGATATAGGGCTGTCAGGGACAGGCAGAGAACAATACACCAGTACTGTGTTGGGGACAGGAGCCATTTTCCTCATGCTCTGGCTAGATAGCAGCAATGTGGGGTCTGAGCCCCAAGTGCCAAGTGGGAAGCCCTAGCTTCAAGAGACAACAGCTAGCCAGCAAGGGGAGGGGAGTGGCAAGCACACACCCAGCACCCTGCCTAGCACATTCTCAGGGGTTGGAGGCAATAGGGGGTCCCCAAACCATTCACAGCCCCTCTCTACTCCGTAACTCCGCACCAGGCCAGCTCTAGGTCAATGCCAAGGACGAGTCTCCTCTCCCAGCTGGCATTAGTCAGAGGTCATCCTGTAAACTTTCAGGAGGGGGTGGGGCAGGGAGTGACTGGTGGCACTCAGCCACATTTCTGTCTGTCCCAAATATGATGAACAGGAACTCAGTGAAGGCAGGGGAGTCTGCCACCCGGAAGCCCCACTGTTTTACTGATCCTCCTAAGCTGCCACTCCCCAGGAAGACAGATAGGACAGACACTTCTTAAGTGGCCCTAAAGTAGGGCTTGGCCCAGGAAGCAGGAAAGGCAAAGAGGGCAGGGCCTTCAAGGGCTGCTGAACCTGGCCATTAGGGGTTGGAAGAAGTTGAAGGACCCTGGGAAGGTCACCTGCCCACACCTTCTTAGCCACTCAGGAGCTTCTAGGAGGAAGGATAGACCCTCCCCACACAATCCAAGTTACACAGGAGCACCATGTGCACATCATTACAACCTTTATTGCCCCCAAGAGAAAATGGACTCTGCCTGCTTCACCCACCCTCCTGCAGGACCAAAGAAAACATCAACACAGCAAAACAAACAGGGGGCTCACCCCATAGGGGGCATGCCCTGCTGCAAGAGCTTCTACCTGCCTTCCATACTCTTAGGAATGGAAGCTAGGCTGGGCTAGGCAGGACAACAGCAAACTCATTCTGAACTTGCTGAACACGTGGCAGTCAGGTCTCCGTGGTGTGTGGGGAGAGTGGAGAGGAGCCAAGATGACAAGCTAGAAGCTATGGGAGGGAGTGGGAGAGCAGAGGGAGGGACTGAAGGACCGCAGGGAGCGGCCAGCTGCCAGGCTCTCAGGAAGCAGTGCCAGGTGGAAGCTGCTGCAGGCAGGGGAGGAAGGAGCCCTCATTCCTCCTTCTTGTCCGTGGGGCCATCTACCACAGCCTGGAAAGGGACAGAAAGCCCATAGTAGTAGGCGGGCAAGACCCACTCTTCTCCTTTAACCTTTAGCACCATGACCCAGAGGCCCAGCTCAGCTCCCTTCTCCACTCATGACAGGTATCCAGAGGAGCGAGATGAAGATAGCCAGGACCTACCTGGGAGCTGGGCCCTATGGGGGGGAACAGCTGGGCATTCAAGTCCCATGCAAGACGCACTTGAGTCCCTCACCCACTGTGACCTACAGGTCCCCTCAAACTCAAGTCCTCCCTAGTGAACCTGTCCTATGATCCTTTTTTTTTTTTTTTTTGAGACAGAGTCTCAAGCTATTGCCCCTAGGTAGAGTGCCATGACATCATAGCTCATAGCAACCTCCAACTCTTGGGCTCAAGTGATCCTCTTGCCTCAGTTTTTTTTCTATTTTAGTAGAGATGGGGTCTCACTTTTGCTCAGGGTGTCTCGAACTCATGAGCTCAAGCTATCCATCGGCCTTAGCCTCCCTGAGTGCTAGGATTACAGGCATGAGCCACCGTGCCCAGCCCTATGACCCTTCTTCCCCACCTGCTGTGGTGACCAAATTTGGGCCACCAAGCACCAAAGCAAGTTGTCTGAACTGAGGGGGGTTTACCTCATGCTCAATTTCGAGACCACCCAAGCTGACAGATGCAGCCTGGCATTCCCAAGTTAGTCTGAGGACTCACACCAGGCTGGGTAGGTGAGTAAGGTGGCCTTTGATGCTTGTTCTCACTTGCCTGGGGATCTTTGTCCATGTCAACCCCTAGCCCATGGCACAGCCCTCTAGAAGAAAAGACCAGCACCTGGTCCTAGGGTTTCCCCTGCATGTCTATTTTTTTTGTTTGTTTTTAAGGGACAGAATTTCACTTTCTCGCCCTTGGTAGAGTGTCATGGCATCACAGTTCACAGCAACCTCCAACTCCTGGGCTTAAGCGATTCTCTTGCCTCAGCCTCCCAAGTAGCTGGGACTACAGGCGCCCACCACAATGCCTGGCTATTTTTTTGTTGCAGTTTGTAGTTTTTCAAACCTGCCACCCTTGATGTATGGGGCTAGTGCCCTACTCACTAAGCTACAGACGCCACCCATACATGTTATCTGTACTTAATGGGGCCCCAAAGTATGGACTGAGGCTGGGCACTGTTCATGGCCATCTTGGCAACTGCCTGCCATCCACTGCTAGGCCACACCTCTCCTACCCACATGAAGAGTTCTGTGAAGGGTTCTGCTCAATAGGCTCTCCTCTAGGCCAGGAGGTGGCAAAGCAAAGCAGGGGAGAGCACAGTCAATAGGCCCCCAGGTCTCTCTCCCTACACACAGGGGATGCCCACACCCACAGCTTCCCCCACAACCCACCACCTCTCCTCCCCACAACCCACAGCAGGCCACGAGGGCTGACCTGCAGCTTCGCATGCTCCTCCAACAGGCGATCATACTCCTTGGTGAGGCCCTGAGACTGCTTCCGCATTGCCATAGCCTCATTTTCAGCTCTCTCTAATTCTGGAAATAATGCAAATGTTAAAGAAAATGGACCTTTAAAAGTCCGGAATTAGGGTAAAAAACCTACTTGCTTGAGATACCAGAACTGTCCCTGAATCTGTCTCAGATGAGGCTGCGCAAGAAACCACTGCTCTAAATGCGGCTCTGCCTTTGCAGCCCCCCACAGCCGGGGGAAGAGCTAACCAAAATACAGAGAACCTCCTTGGTCTCTTTGTTTGTTTGTTTGACTTTTTCCCTTTTTTTTGGGGGGGGGGGGGGAATGCAGTGGTGTCATCCCAGCTCACTGAAACCTCAAACTCCTAAGCTCCAGTGATTATCCTGCCTCAGCCTCCCCCCTCCTGAGTAGCTCAGACTACAGGCGCCCAACAGTAGAAAACTCAGCTAATTTTTCTATTTTTGGTAAAGATGGGGGTCTCACTCTTCCTCATACTGGTTTTAAACTCCTGACTTCAAGTGATCCTCCCTTGTTGGCCTCCCAGAGGGCTAGGATTACAGGCGTGAGCCAGTGGGCTGGGCCAGCCTTGGTCTTTTTTTTTTTTTGGAAACAGTCTCACTATGTTGCCCTTGGTAGTATGCACTGGCATCACAGTTCACAGCAATCTCAAACTCTTGGGTTTAAGCGATTCTCTTGCCTCAGCCTCCCAAGTAGCTGGGACTACAGGCGCCGCCACATAACCTGACTATTTTTCTGTTGTTGTTGTTGTTACAGTTGTCATTGTTGTTTAGTTGACCTGGGCCAGGTTCGAACCTGCCACCCTCGGCGTATGTGGCTAGCACTGTAACCACTGTGCTACAGGCACCAAGCCAGCCTTGTTCTCTTTAATGGGGGAGAACCCCAGTAGTTCTTAGGAGTGACCTTCAGGGAGGCTGGAAACAAAATCCCAGCCTCAAAGCAAGAACCCTAGTGACAGCTTGCTGAAGAGTGGCAGCCAAAGCCCATGGTGCTGGGTAAGAACACTCCAGACTTAAGTCTGCACTAGCAGGCCAATTCAGAGTTGGTTTAGATTTCCAAAACAAAACTACCATGAATTCCCATCCACTCCCTTCCTGAACGCCACTCCGAAAACTCCTTACTCTCAGCTCCAAGGCCACTCTCAGCAGGAGAGCCCCAGTGTACACTGTTGCACACTGGGTAGCTAAAGGCCTGGCCCCGCTGCAGCTGGGGTTCCTCCTGGGCCCTGCTCAAACCACTTAGCCCCACATGGCCGCACTGGGGCTCAGAGGCATAAGGTGCTCTCTGTTTCCACCTAGTCCTTGAGCTTGTGAGGGAGGTTTGTTGCTAATTTTCTGGCACAAGACAGGCAGCCGCAGGCAGTAGAGGTTCCAACTCCCAAGGCTGGAGGTGCACACAGGGACCACTCTCACTTTGCTTAGTGCTAGCCAGCTCATCCTTTAGCTTCTTCAGGTCAGCCTTGAGGTTCTTGTTCTCCTCCTCCAGCTTCACCTCCATGTCCCTGACATCCAACTTGCCTCGGTCAACACCAGCTCCCTAGGAAAAGTGCCAAGGACCATGGTTACTAAGGAGGGAGAGAGAGAGAAGCCACTCTGTCCCCCACCCCCACCCCAGTGAGCTATAGTTCCTCAAGCTGCCCTGGGCACCTGCCCCTTCAGAAATGCCAGCATGGAACTGAGCCACTGCTTGCTCCCAGCAACCAGGCAAAGGCCAGGGTGTGGCTGCCCCCTGAGGGCAAGGGGAGGGCCAATGAGGCCACCTGCTGAGCTCCCAGGCATATGCCTGGCCTGCCCTGGCCCGCCCTGGCCCCTGGCCCTGCTCCTTCCTCAGCAGCAAGGCAAAGCAGTCCCACAGAGTTTACCAGGCCATCCAGTGACTCCTATTCCTTCCACATTCCTGCAGCCTGGTAGCCCCTGCCTCTCTCTCACCTCTGACTCCAAACCCAGCTGCTTCCTCCTGAGCCTGGCTCACACCTTACCTCCTGTCAGGCCTTCCAGGACTGGCCAACCCTGTCCCTGCCTCTTCCCCAGCACTGAGAGATGCACTAGACGGTGGGTTCCTGAAGGGCTATGGCCAGGAGCAATCTTCTGGAGCACAAGGGCCTAGAGCTCACCTAGGAGTCATTTTGTTCAGGGAAAAGTCTGACTGGAAGCAGTGGATGTTCAAGAGAGCAGCAATAACACCCCCTTCTTTTCCACGTCCTTAAGAGCTAGAGGAGGGTGTCATTGTTGCTCTGGATCCTTCCACATAAACACCTCCAGTGGGCACACCTCCCCATACCAAGGACTTCCCCTTTGTGCCTCCACCGAGCCTAATATGTTACAATGACCACTGGGGCCCCTAAAGAATATGGCTGCCATGGTATGACCCCAGGGCATGCCATGGTGGGGTCAGGAAAGTAGGGCTCACTTTCTTTAGCTGGTCATTCTCCTCCATGTACTTCTTGGCTGCCTCACTGGCACTCTCTGCTTGCTTCTTAAAGGCTTCATTGGAGGCCAGCAGTGTGGCTTGCTGGGAGATGAGTGTCACCAGGCGTCTAAGCAGGCTACAATTGTTGCCAAAAAGAAGGAAGAAGTGAGAAAAGAGCAAAACAGCTGCTGGTGAAACTTCTCCTGGTTGCTCCCCACCCCATGTCTGTCTCCAGCCTGGACCTGTCCTCTTGCCAGGGCGGCCAAGCAAGAGACTACCAACCTGGCTCCAGCAACACATGGGGAAAGGTAGAGCCTGGGAGCCACCCTCTGCGACTCTGAATGGCCACCCTTAGCTTTGGGATGTTTCAGGGAGGGGCTGGAAGCAAGAGCCTGGGGATACCAGGGTAGGGCCTACATAGAGTACAAGGTCCCAGAACTCCAGAACTTTCCAGGTCAGGTCCTGGACGTGCCAGACAAGCCACGGCATCCTCTTCCCTGCGAGGCCAGGCTTGCCTTGATAAAGTAACAATAGAGGCTCATAATCCCAAGTACTTCCCACATGCCAGGCCAAATCCTCATGTATACCTGACCAGGCAGCTACTATGTATCACTGTTCCCCTTTCACAGAGTAAGACACCAAGGCAACTTGTCCAAGGTCAAAAGCCAGAAATGGACATGGATGGAATTCTACCTCCTGTCTCACTCCAAAGTCTGAGATTGGAACCACGCAGCCAACAGCTCTCAGGCCCTGACATAAGACAGAAATGAGTGTCCTCTACCCAGTCCCCTCCCAAGCCCAACACACAGGTAGCTGCCAGGACACAGCTGTTAAGTAACAGCACCCCAATTGAGGTCTTCTTGGATTGGTGGGTACAGAAAATGAAGAATGACGATATAGGCATACAGTGCTTGTCTGAAGCAGCCAGAAGAGAGAGGCAAACAGGTAGCAGTGGTGGCAGATGCTGGGCCTAAAGCAGAGGAAATGGCAGCTTCATTTCACTAGGTCCACCCTTGCCCTGAGTTGTCAGCTGGCAGGGAGGGAGGAGAAAAGGACTCTTTCAAACAGTCAGAACAGTTTAAGGGGTACTTTCTCCACACACCTCAGAAAAGGACCCAGTCCCACCATGACGTTCAGAGTAAGGCAAAGCGCGTACTGGATCCTCGGGGAAGGAACCAATCTGATTAGTCCGCGACACTTCAACAACAGAGTGTTGGCTCAGAAGTACGGAAGCGGCCAAGGCCTGCTCCAGCCTACTCCCTCTCTCCCTGCCAAACTTCCACAGCCTCTGCTCCTCTCCAGCCCAGAAGAGCCAGGGGAGTGGAGAGCAACCAGGTTGCCACCTTCCTGGCCCAAGCTCTCTAGGGCTGCAGCACCAGGGGTGGGAGATACCACTGTGGTTCCTCACAGAAGCTCTCAAGGGCCCCTGGTGACACCAGGAAAGCCAGGCTGTTGACTCCTGGCAGGAGAGGAGAGTTTCCAGTGACATGTGCTCTCTAAAATTAGCGGCCCAGGACCTCGTGGTCGAAGGCTCAGGTTTCCCTGCCTCAGCCCCCAGCTGCCCACCAGCCTGCCCCCCACTGGGCTGGAGCCCTGAAAGTGAAGGGAGCTCCTGAGCACCCCCAAAAGACAAGAGAAAAGCAATGTACCTGACATGTCAGCATGGGCCGGAGTCACTGGGAGGCCTAGTAAGGAAGGCAAGTCTGACTAAGCCCCAGCCTCCAGCACAGAGCTCTTGGCTCCTGCAGTGCTCAGCATGTGGAAGAGGCCCACTCCTCTCAGCTGGAAATGGGTGGGGGCACACATGCCACCTGGTGGTAGAGATGGGGCCTGTGGATACTGTGGGGACCCAGTGAAGACAAGGTGGCAAGGTCAAGGGTTACCTTATGCTCCCCAACACCAGATCAGACATGAGTGCCGAGGGCTGTCACCCTGACTGTGCACGGAGACCAGGCCCAGGGATATGGCTAATACCACCAACACCTCACTGGTGGCAGTGGCAATAATGGCAATGGCAGCATAGCAGTGGCCCAGCTCCACTCAGTGCAGTCCCACGCCTTCCCTGGCTATTAAGAGGCAGAATTTCGGCTCGGCACCTGCGGCTCAAGTGGCTAAAGCGCTAGCCACATACACCTAAGGTGGCGAGTTCGAATCCAGCCTAGGCCTGCCAAACAACGATGGCTGCAACCAAAAAATAGCCAGGCGTTGTCGCAGGCACCTGTAGTCCCAGCTACTTGGGAGACTGAGGCAGGAGACTCACTTGAGCCCAAGAGTTGGAGGTTGCTGTGAGCTGTGATGCCATAGCACTCTACCCAGAGGGACAGCTTGAGGCTCTGTCTCAAAAAAAAAAAAAAAGAGAGAGAGAGAGAGGCAGAGTTTCCGAGGTGGGCCAGGGTGCACAGCCCCAGCCCAGGCCGTCAGTCAATGGCCTGCGAACAATCAGGATCTCCCCTCAGCTGGGTCCTGGGCCCAGTTCCTCTTGCCCACTCCCACAGTGCCTTCTCACCGGACTTGCAAACTCCCCCAAAAGTACATCCCAGCCCCAAGAGTTCTCTCTCACAGCTTCCAGGTACTGTCTTCCCCTTGCTGGAGCTGTGCCAACGCAACCTAAGACAGATAATTCTCCCCCAATCCACCTGCTGCCCCACCCCCAAAGAACCTCACCCCTCAATCACCTCATCCTGAAATCACTACACTCAAGACTGTTGTCTCCTCCCTCTCATCCATTCCTCAATCTACTCTGGTCAAGGCCTGCCTTGGCCAAGCCACCAGCAGGGACACCAGTGATCTCCTAACTACTCAACCCAGCAACCACTCAAGAGTCCTCATGCCACTCTGGCTGCTGACAGGTCACCCTTACGGTGCCTCCTCTGCAACTGTAACAGCTCCTATCACTGCCTGGTCATTTTGTTCCCTGAGGTCTGCACTCCTCAGCTGGCCCCCATACTTGCCTCCTGGCAACCTCATCCCTGAAAGGGCTTCAGCTGCAGCCCAGACTTACTCCCAGCCACCTACTAAATGTCAGCTCCTGGATGTCCTGAGACATATCCAAACTCAACTTGTCCCTTAGGCTGCCTGACCTGACCATTCCCTATACCCTCTGCTGTGATGGCAGGTAGGCAAGCCACCTTGGACCCCCTCATTATGGCCTCCCAGCCCCAGTTAGTGCTACGCACATCAATGCCAACTAGACTTCCCACTAGTACCCCCACTGCCAGTGCCAACTCCCTCTCTACAGCCACATGGCTTTCCCACCCACCCGCAGAGCAGGCCAAAGCTGACCATTATCACTCCACTCAACCCATCTAATGCCAGCACACAGGCCCTGTATAAGCTAGTTCTTCCTCCTCACTAAATACATGGTCCTCTGCTCTAGTAACACCAACCCCCATCATTCTTGGAACACATGCCAGATTCTGCACAGCACTTCTCCAAGTCTGAATGTCCTTTCTACCCAGCTTGACTTTCACCTCCCTACCCCCAAGGGAATTCCCCTATGGAGCCTCCCACAGTAGCCCTTTGCCCCTCTGTTCCCTGTGCCCGTATCACCTGTTTACTCATCTGCCCCACTCAGCTGGTAGTGCCCTGAGGCTGGGCACTACACCTTCATTTCCAGATACCCATACCAGGCACATTGAAAAGGGGCCTTCTAGATGACTTAGTCCTACTCCCAAGAGAAGCAGCACTCCCTAATAGTTGAGGGGACCAACTGGGAGGCTACAGGTCAGGCCTGGGTGGAATTACCCTAGATCCAGCTTGCACCTGTGTCCACTTGGGGGCCTGGGACCAATGGCTGCATAGGTGGACATAGAGTATGCCAGTAAGAGGAGTTAGCAACAGAGAATATGGAAGATGGCAGCAGGGAGGTGCCATCTTAAGACCCATCTTAATGAGCAAGCCAGGCTTATAGCTGCAGCGACAGCTGAGAAGGCACATGGGGAAAACGATTCATCACCACAAGATGAAGGCAGACCCGAGAGCTCTGGCCTCTGTGTTCTCAGCCTACTCTTTCAAGGCCACGGCAACACAGGCCAGGGCCTTTTCTCTCCTTCTTTTTTTGAGTCTCAAAAAGTCACCTGCATGTGACTTTGTTTCCTTTCTGTTCTCTGTGCCTTGATCATCTGCTCACTTGTCTATCACCCTGGGTAGAGTGCTGTGATGTCATGGCTTACAGCAACCTCAAACTCAACTCCCGAGCTCAAGCAATCCTCATGCCTCAGCCTTCCAGAGCAGCGTGAGCCACCACGCCTGGCCTAGCTAGACCCTTCTCAATGGGTTCACAAGCATTTGCCAGAATTCTAGGTTTTCCTGTTCTCTCTCACACCAGGCCACACAGCCAGATCCCACTCCAAACCACAGTCCTCTCAATGAGCCCACCACCCCCATTCCACCCCCAAGCACACTAACTAGACCTTTTGTCTGCTCCTCATTCTTGGCTATTCACTTATGAACAACAGGTGAGAACCTAAGAGCCAAAAGAATGTCCTAGCTAGATAGAGGGTTGTCCCTGACAAAATGGCCAGTTAAACAGATCTAATAAACGAGGGAAAAGCCAGTGAGCAAAACTTAATAGAGCACAGATGTGTGTCCTTGGCAGACAAATGTCAGCACTAAATAACTGAATCTGATACGGCTTTTTGGTAGAATGTTCTTGGACATGGAGCAGGGTGTCATGCTTTCATAGAAGGCTGAGTAAGCCAGAGAAAGCAAGAGAAACAGGCTCTACGGACTCTAGAGAAACATGGTCAGTTATGCCAAGCAGAGAGAAAAGATGGCTTACTCATGCTTTTCATCAACCCTGTCTTTCCCTGAGTGAAGAGAGGGAGGAAGTTTTGGTTTGAACAAGAGGTGGGAAAGAAGCTGGTCCCAACCAAAAGGTTCTATGGAGCGGCCACCCCACCCTCCCTGCAGGTGAACCAGGTAAGCTGGGTCACTCAGCCCTCACCATATCCCTGCAGGGACATGCTGTGCACACATAGCTCTCTCCTCTGCCCTGGGCAAGCAGGAAGCTGGTGTCCCAGCGCCACCTGCTGACTCTCCAGGCCTACCACAGCCTGGGGGAACCCTGTGTGGACTCTGGGTGTGCACACCCCAACTGCTGGAAGAGGAACTGGGGCAAGGAAACAAAGCTAGCCA